GAAATCAATCAAAACCTTTTTTCTTATTTTTTTTTTGTCTTTTGTTATCGAGCTGCGACTCAACTAGGTTTAGGGTTTTATGTTGCTAGAGCTAGGTAACTCGCTGACGGCCCCTGTGGCCAAAGCCTTTGTAATCTCTTGTAATGATCGCAACGCTCTTACGCGAATTCTAAAGAAGATCTACTTTCTTTATAAATTCGTTTTTTCATGTTTTTCATATTTTCCGCATTTATTTGGTTACTTGTCGTTGGCTCTCGCATTGATCTGGGTCCTCTGGAAAATTAAGGTTTTCCTAAGTTTCCCAATTTTACAGAAAATCGACAGTATGAATTTCGGTTCCCACAGTTTGGCGCTAGAAGGAGGGGGGAGGTCAGATTACTCTAACTCATAGTCGCAGCTCAAAAAAACGCTGGTAAAACAACTCCAGCCGCGACTACTGCTATAGCCAACGCTCACGCAAACGTTGTAGTACTTAACAATATCGAAAACCTAATCTCGACTTTCGTCACGCGAGGAGCAACAAAACAAGCTCGCGATTTATCTCTCTGATCACTAAGGGTAACGATAAAATCTATCAAACCCCGTAAAGTTTCTCTTATTTCCGAGTTGGACAAATCTCATTATGTATGGGTTGACCAAAAGATGTTTTTCGAGATATTTTCGGAAAAATAAAACTTGCTCTTCCAGAAACCGCGGAATAAAACCTAGGTTACTCGCGGAATAAACCCTAGGTTACTCGCGGAAAAACCCTATGTTACTCGTGGAATAAAACCTAGGTTACTCGCGGGAAAACCCTAGGTTACTCGCGAAAAAAACTCTTGGCTACTCGCAGAGTTGGCCGTACCGTCCAGTTCGCCAATACGGCGAGTTGAACGATACTATCAGGCTCGCAAAGACGGTGAATTTGCCAAGCGACCCAGCTCGCCACCTCGGCGAACTGGTCGGCCTTTCTCCTCGCCCTCGAGGCACTGACTTTGCCACGAGGGTCCTTACCATCCAGCTCGCCTGTAGGCGAGCTGGCCGAGCTGGACCGTTCATACCAGCTCGCCAGCCGGCGAGCTGGCTGTGCCAAACCAGCTCGCCGTCTTGGCGAGCTGGTCGACCTTTCTCCTCGTCTTTCAGGTACTGACTTTTCCCCAAGGGTCCGCATCATCCAACCGCCACCATAGCGAGTTAGCCAAGCCTGATCGTACCCCAGACAATAATCACACTACTTTTCGTTTTTTCTCAATCGGAGTTTTCATTCAGATTTTACGACGAAAACAAGTCAGCTCGACGAATCGGGACTGTACTCACCGACTCGCCAGTGGGCGAGTTGAACAAGCCCAACGGATCGAAACGTTTCTCTATCAAATCTCAATCGAAACGCTTTTCGTTTTGTCCCAATCGGAGTAACCGTTGGAACTTTACAATATAAAAAAAACGAAAAAAAACTTTCTTTCTCTCATAAGTTCGAATCGATCGTCTAAAACGGCATCGGTTGACATAACATCAAAGTTTCCTAAACTATACAAGAGATTTGAACTATCCAAATGCAATCCGGTTTTACAAAATTCTGCTACGTTAAGTCGGAAACACCTAATCATAAACGTGTGATGGATTTTTCAACAATATACGAAGCACACCTAGTGAGTTAAGTAAAATCAGCAGTACGAAGAAACAAGAACATAAACTCCGATGTCGAAGTCCCTTCCTCACTCCGATATTCTTGTCGAAAACCGATTCATACGAAAATAAGTCAAAAGACAAAGAACGAAGAAGAGGCAGTCCCAAATCATCGATGAAACTAAGGCATAACTCGAAAACCGGGCCAATTTCTTGTACAACCGAGAAACAATCGCCACGCATTCGAGCGTAATAATCTCTAGGACTATAAAGCACTCTCATCGCAATCATGCGTTTAGAAAACCTCTGCGAAACTTCAGAGTGAAACTCGATGATTTTCCGAAGTCATAAAGATCTTTTCCAACTTGTTAAAACAAGTTTCGTATAAGAGTCAAAAAATTATACGAGAAATGTTTAGGCATCAAAGTATTGCTCTCATTTTCCGTTGAACCAAGTGAGTCACGAAATAATATCAAGAACATTTGCGACAAAGAAAAATTGAGAACACAAGAAGCAGCAATAGGGAACACGTCCTCCCTGCTTGCCGACTGATCCTATTGATGGTCAAGTGATTCGTTCCGCTCAAGAAACCCGCTAAAACATTTTGCGACTTAATCTCGATGTAATAACCATTGGTAAAACTCCGTGAGTGACTCCAAAAAACTATCACCGAAGAATCAAAAACAAAGCGGAAAGTTTTCTCAAAAATTCGCGGAAGCATCGTTATTTTGACATCTTCATATGTCGCATCAATTTACTAAATTTGCCGCCCTTCACTTATGCAAGAAATCCTTCGTATAGTCAAAGACTTTGACATACGAAGTAACTTTCGAAAGTAAACGTAACAGGTTCTGTGATAAGCACTGTCCATATAGCAAAGCTATACGATCTGACACTGGAAGACCGATCTAAACTTTGTTTCCACGCACCATGATCTAAAAGATCTCATTCTTTAGCGCTGCGGTTCATGAGAATCAACTCTCATTCTTCTCGATTGCATCTGAGAATGAAACCACCCCACAACCGACTCCGCTCGGGCTCTGCATCAAGCTTCTTAAGCTTTGTCTCCCTCGGGTAAAAAAGAAACAACTTCCATACGAACAAAGGAAAGATTATATGAAACTTTCATCGTATGAATCAAACCTAAAACGAAAAAACATTTTGTACGACCACGGACATACTTGGCATATCAATCTCGACAAACGCTACTTGGTCCTTGTCCGATCACGCTTCACTTCAATGCCGAGCTAGGTTACAGCATCCCCTTTAAGGGCGATCCAAACTGACTCGATCTTATTGATAGCACGAAAGTGTCATGGTCTAATCCTTTACCAACTACGTCCTTGGCTATGTGGCTGAATACAACCTTCACGCCAAGCCAAAACATTCAACTGACAATGGAAACTTGTTGAAAATTGACTAAGCTCTACATTCTCACAATTCACTATATTTCTAAAGCAAGTTACCTACAAAATCCGACGTGTAAGAAAACACTCATAGCAAAGCTCCTGAAGCCGTACGAGTTATCCTTAAAATATATGAAAAAGATCTCGGAAGGTTAACACTTCACAAAGCACTGTAATTAAAGACGGTTCGTTTCAGAAACAAACTTACGGGACCCCTCGGTCCTAATTGCTCTAGCATGAATCAAACTACTTAACATCTAAGAAGGAACATAAGTTTTAGCTGCGAATGTCCGCAAACAAACCAAAGTGTTCCTGCAGAGAAGGGTTAAGACAAAACCCTCGCAACACCGCGTAACATCTTCAAGCCTGCGAACGTTTCGAACACAAAACACGACATATGAAAGAAAAACCAATATTTGGCATTGCGAGATGTCTCAGAAGCCTGAAGAACAGTTTTTCGACAAAAATACATTCCTCGATAAAATCACTTTCTTGGATGACCCAACAGTCCAACAACGACTATAAAAAATACAAAACTTCTTAAGATACGTATCCTTTATGAAGGTCCAAGAAACGGTAACATCTACCACCAAAGTTTGTTGCTGATCACAACAAAATCGCAACAGTCCTAAACAAACTTAAGTTATCTCACGGAGATAGCTCTCATACACCCGACACAAGGGTAATAGCGCTGTAAAGGAATTTAAATTTTGGTCAGCACCTTCGGAGATGCTCGATTCCGACCAGACAAGTCGTATAAGCCGAGAACCTATCACAGACTTTAAATCGGTATGGAATCAAGTTAAAACCGCAACAGGAAAAATGAACGCCGATTAGTCATCACAAAGCCTTAAAACCGAAAGTAAACCTAGGTCTTACCCTAAACCCAGAACACTGGTCTCTAACGTCTCAAGGCATGAAATGAGATCCTAAAGGCATGTCTCTTCGTCCATATCTAAACGCTCACGAGATTCTAAACATCCTAAAACGAGGAAAACAAATAAGGCAATCTATAAAAAGAATTAGACTATGAGATGACATCTCATATTTTTCCCTCCACTTTCATACGAATACAAACTTGCTCTTGAAACGCAAAACACAATTTATTTAAAAAAATGGCCGCAAAGCGGCACGGACTCGAAGCTGCATACGGCCAGTCCAAAAATATAATGGCCACACTGGGTCGAAGCAAACAGCTTACGAGGCAAGTCTCAAGGCTCATACAAAACACCATCGACATCATCATGTTAATCTCTACGCGTAATTAGACTGTAAAGGTCTCATTGAAAAACATGTTGTATGAACCTTAACTTTAAGACGAACTACGAAAGGCTTAATCCCTCCAAGAGGGTACGTAGGCAGCCTTCACTAGGCAGCCCCAATCCTACCGCTTTCCATTCCAATGAGAGTGGGAGGACCACTTTTAGCGGAACTTTTAAACCATACATTCCTCCTAACTTGCCTAACTTGCCTAAAATTGTTTAACCACTCGCTAGAACATCATGCTAGAAGCCCATGGTTCTAACGATCTGGGGGGCGAACTGTTGGGGTCAAAATCGGTCACGACGGAATCAATAGTCCCAGAAAAAGCATATTGCGAGATAGGAATAATGTTGGCAGATTGCGAGATAACCAAGTCGTTAATTGATATTGGGAGCTGGTGAACGTCATTTACAAAGACACTTTGGATCAAATGAAAATAATCGACCTTCAAATCAAAAGTAACCATTGATGGGTTAACCTGTTCGTGTCACAAAGGCCCATGGGAACCATTAGACTCCCGGGCTATGTTAATGGAACTATGCTGGGAAAATTCAATCAAAGCCGAAAAGTATGTCGTAGACAAAAGAAATCAGCGAAGACCAAAGATGAAATTTGATTTTAGTATAAATTTTCGTTCTCTTTTTTTTTTTGGTCAAAAAATTTTCGTTCTCTTTAAAAGAAGAAATATGAGTGAAAGAAGAGAGAGAGAGAGAGAGAGGGAGGGCTCCACAATTGATTTGTGTAGTATAAAAATGTACTCAAAAGGTATACAAATTCTAATGCATAGATACAGACCGTTGCATATATATATAAAGTATTAAAACCGTAAAAGACAAAACTCCTCTTGTTTCTTTCTTTTTGTTCGGTAAGAGAAAAAAAAATAAAGAAAAATGATCTGAATAAAAAGTTAACTATTATTTCAACGGCTCTAACTGAATCTCGCTCCTCCCTCCATGTCTACCTTCTTCATCATCTTTATCTCTGAAACCTCCTCTTGAATCTATGAGATCAGTCGAATCATCTTCTTCAACATTCCCCAAAACCCAGTTCCCTCTGCTCAGGTTCCTCGCTCTTCTTCTTCCTCGTTCCCTGTACTCCAAATACACAACAGTCACCACTCCCAGGAACACCCATAACCCGAGTGCCCAGTTAAGCCCGTCTACGTTCTCTGCTCCGTTCCGTTCTCCTAAATGCTTCATTCCCGTGAAGAGCGCAACAACTCCTATTACAACAGCTGATTGACCAACGATTGAGTGAGAATACTCCCACATTAATCGTTTCGAAGACATGAGTTCTCCTTGAGCAGGCTTCGCTGGCCTTAGCCAAGCGTTCAGGGGTTGAGCGCAAGCCAGAACTATGGCCGTGAAACCGAACTTGACGTGGGATGAACTGAAGCTGAAACCGTTGAGTTCCGCTACTGCGAAGAGGAGGCCGAGGAAGACAATGGCTAGTCCTGAACATTGAAGATACATATGAATCTTGAACCAGCCATCACCTTTGATGTGTTTCAAGTATCTAGCTGATAATATCCCACCGGGAAGTAAGATTCCCCAAGCGAGGAACATCATGAATCCATGAACGCCCAAGACCGGTCTGAGATCTTGTTCCGCTTCTGCTGATCCACGCGTTAACATTACACGGACAGGTCTCTGACTTGTAACCGAGTGCATGTTTCTCTCTGTTAACTGACCATCTGTCCATTTAGCACCCATTGCCCATATCACTTTAAGAGGAGTTGTGGGATCGATCATGTTCTTACACTCGGGTCTGTCTCGATGACTGCAGGAAGGTTTCAAGGGACGGGTAAACTCCAGCGTGATGATCCCTTCTTCGGATTTGCATCTCACATATGTCATGTTTTCAATTGTGGGTTGAATAGAGGAAGCTGATTCTCCATCAATCCAGTACGTGTTTACATGCCCTGTTCCGTTTCTATCAAACCAACCAACATAAGCATAACTGTTTGTCATCTCGCTACCGAAACCAATTGCAAGATACCCACTTTTCTTCTCGCCACGAGCTGCTATCGATATTGAATCCCCTACTATGGTCCAAAAGAATTTGACTTGCTGATCATCAAGATTAACACTGTTGTTGTACATATCCGAGAGTCCACCGTCGACAACCTGAACCTTCCAACCCATTTTCTCTTGAAATATCGAGTGATAATAGAGCTGGTCGGGTGTGTTTCTATTAGGAGCCCAAACGAGCTCTAACGGACTCGACACTACTCCATGAGTTTCTTGCCCACCTGCATAGATCGTCTCAGTTCTGTTCCGAAGAGAAGCGTTCCCACCAAGAAAGTCTGAAGTTATGTAGAACGAGACGTCGTGTCCTGCTTCTATTGAAAACTTCACAGGAACGCCTCTTTCTACTCTCAACACCGGTGCTTCTTTCTTGTTGATATACAGAACCTTGGAAGGGTTTGGAGGGTTCGGATAATGCACGGATGGTCCAGCCGTGACAACAAGAGGTGCGTGGGCATCAGCAATTATCACACCTTGGTCGTACTTGTTGTCTGCATCCAATGGTCCCAAACATTCATCCACATGATCCGAGAGACTAAGCGAAAAATGCCCGAAATTTTCCGATTCCACACCTCCGTGATTCTCTGGTAGATAGTAAGGATTGATAACATCTGGTGGTTTTATCACCCCAAGTGCCCAAATAACTGTAAGATTCTCAGTTGCATTGACAGGAAAATCAAACTTATTATCACTATCATTCAACGGCCTCCTATACCTAACAAACGAAACTCCGTCTATCCTATGCCCGTAAACAAGTTTTGTGTTATTCACTGAAGAACCAATTGCCTCTGCTCCTTCATAGACCGTGTCAGGACAAACCCCAGCAGCAAAACCATCCCTGACAGAGCATACACTCGACTTTGTAATGTAGAAATCATCAGCAAAAGGGAAGCCATCCTCTCTAATTCCGGTAATCACAACATCAGCATACAACATAAGGTTTTCGGTAGAGTTTGGTTTAGCCCAACCAAAGGCCATGTAGTTCAGTAAACCAGTTGTAGCCTCTAGACCAATATCTACATAACCTTCATCTACATTCAGGGTCCACCTGAGCCTGTACTTATCAGAAAGCTTCTTGCAATTATCAAACATGGTAGGAGCCTTGAGGGGCTCACTGTTATTCGATTTCCCTGTAGCAGCCTCTTTACTCTCTGAAGGAGGTGATTCAGATTTTGAAGAAGACGAATCTTGCTGTGTAGCATTGGAGAGCAGAACATGGCCAAAGTCAGAAGCAGTAGGTAAATCCCAAACCGAAACAACTCCTATTTTATCCCATGTAACATTATCAAACAAACGGACGACGAATGATTGGTTACTGAATGTTTGATTAAGCTTATGATCAGAGATGAGGAAGCCACTATGAGTCATGTTGTCGAAATCAGAAGTCATTGCACCCCACCAATGAACATCAGAACCAGAGAGCATATCGAAACGTGAAACTCTAAAGGAACAATCATCAAGAACGGTGAAAACCCCACGAAGCTGGTGTTGCAACATCCTGAACTCGGACTCGTACCCAATCAAAGAGCTCGACTTTGAGCATTTTTGCCCGTTTACGAAGAAGAGGAAGAATCCCAACACGAGAGACCCTAGAAAAACGGGTCTTTGAACAAACATGGTTGGGGGAAACTTAACTCAACCAAACCCAAATCTGCAAAAACACAGCATATATGGAACCAGTAAGAGAATGTATTCTCGGGAAGACAGAGAATTGGGAAACAGAAACTTACAGTTCCCAACAACACGTCGGCTTACATTAACCGAATGCAAACTCACATGAAAGGGCAGGAAAGCTACAAAGAGGGGTATAAATGTCAATCTTTATAATAAACCACCAATGTGCATTGGTAAAGAAGAGTGAAACATAAACATGACATGTTGGTGTTGTAAATTCTACCTGAGGTTAAAATAGCAGAGCTCTTGTGAAGTAGAAGAGATTTGTGTGAGTGCTAAATGCCAAATAATAACTCAGCTCCTGCAATTGAAACCATCAGCTAGCTAGAATCATAAGGAAGGACAATGCAGAAGAATCTGAAATCTGATAGTGATGGGGAGAGTCTAGAATCTATTAAACAATCCAGAACAGAGAGCATTAATTAATCAGATGAAGAAGGTATTCAAAACTCAGAATCTGTATTAGAACATGATTATATAAGATTCTAGGCTAGATAGATAGATCTAGTGGGGATTCAATCTCGAGATTCAAACCCTAACAATCAATCAAGAGATCCAAATCGAAGCATCCCAAAGATATTTCAAATTCGATAACATACAATCAACTCGCATATCAAAACCAGCACCCAGATCACACTCGCGATCGAAACTCTAACTCAGATTACCACAATCAAACGAAATGTGGAGGAGATTACCTCAGATTTTGCGGTTCGAGGAGAGATCCGTGAGTTAAATTTCTCGATTTCAATCTGAGAGAGCTTTAGTTTCCTTCCCGCATCAGATTCCAAGGATCCTCCTTCTCGCTAATATGCGCTTTACCAAGAAGAGATGAGATGGATGGCAAAAGCATATGAGTTAGTTGGTTAAATATCACTTTAGTTTCTGTGATTTTAATTGTTAACCCTTTTCTTCTCTTTCACTTTTAGTTACGTACATATACGTCAATTTCTTTTTTTTTCTTTTTTTTTCACAAAATACATATACAGCCAGGTTTCTCGTTATTAATCTCACTCAATCTTTACATAAAGGTTATTTTCTTGATAACTAACTTCTTTGAATGACACTTATTTACTCTTTCTTTTTTGTTCCCATCTAGATAGCATGTAAACGCCATCCAAAATCCATTTGTATATATTTTCAAACTTGTTTACCATGAATATTTACATGGGGAATCAATAGCTATTTTAAGTATTTTTGTTGAATTTTGTTTAACTATTTGTAATGTTTATTTTTGACTATTTTATATATATTTTCATATATTTTGGACAATTCCAAAATATCTTATACATTTTAGGTATATTTTTGGATATTAAATCTCAAAATAGTTGATGTATTCAAGTATTGATGTTGATATATATAGATACCGAAATATTTTTCAGCTCGAATACGATTAAATTCTTTAGATTCAAAATTTTGAATTCGTTAAGATATTGAGCTAGTTTCAGTTTGGTCTGTTATTATTTTTTTGATCGGATTCGGTTCAGTTCTTCAGATTCAGATTTTTGTCCAGCCATACTCATTACTTATATTATGCCTCTAATTTTGTCATGTACTCGTTTCAGTTTTCCAAGCTGTCATTGTTGTTAAGTCGTTGAGTTTTGGTACTCGTAAATACAAAATAAGTAACAAGTATAACAAAAAATTTAGCGACTCAGTTTGATATTACTTGTTATTGGTTTCATGACTAAAAAGTAAATGATAATTAAACTATAAATAATCCAAATTTAAATAAAATATGTTTTTTTCATTATAAGAGTAAACAATATGTTTATATAGAGGTATTATGTCTTTTGTTCTTTATCCTTTTTATAATATGTACGAATATTTTTTTTTAAAATAACAGTGAATTTCCTAGTATGTTATGAAATATTAAGTTTAATAACACTGAATTTTAAATAAAATTTTAAAATTCATATTTAAATAACAGTTTATTACATTTTAATAAAATATTACCTCAAAATTATTTGTTGAATACACCCTTGGTTAATTTCAAGTGAGTAAAAACCAAATTTTCACATTCTTCTCTAGTAGAATATTATCGGGTAAGTAATTCCTAAACATCAAAATATTTTCAAGCAATTCACTAGTACTTTTAAGTAGCATTTAATCGAATGGGAAAAGTAATTTGAACTAACACAAAAAAAAATCTTGTAACTAACACTTAGAGTAAGTAATCAAAATAACAAATACTTGTTTCCGACAAGTGAAGTACAAATCTATAACATTTCATTAATTGTAAAAGACAAGTAAAATATCAAATATTCGATTTGTGCCCATCCCTAAAATTGAACAGTCAAAGCGTTCCATAACATGTCTCTTTCTTGTAACGACTACTCTTAGATTGACAACAAAAATCATCCCTTGAGTAGGTTCTCAGAGAAAGCGTCGCTAAATATTTACGAAGAGTCGAATCTTAATGCAACCAATTTTGAGCAGCTATTCCATGACCCTAATCAGAATTCCTGGAAGCAATTTATTGCCATTTGAGCTCTCTTCCATGGGTCTCTTGGCCTTACAAAGGTGTATGATGTTATCTAATGGAATCTGAATTTTGATTTGAGTATGTTCATTTGATTCAAAATCGTCAATTGTTCCATAATTAGTAGATTCAGGTTTATTATATGCTTTTAACTTAAAACCAATTGGTGATAAGTGAATGATCCTAATCCTTTATATATTACCTTAAGCTCATACTGAATTCCCGATGTGAGATATATATTCCTAATACTCTTTTTTGAGATGATAGCTCTTATCCGCCAGAAATCTCAAAAAAAAATTAAGACATTTATACTCGGTCAAACGAGTCAATTACGACAATTATATCTAGCCAGAAGGTTAAAACGACCTTTATACCCGGCCAAAAAGGTTAATTAATTAGTTAGGCATTTAGGGTTTCTAGAACTTGGGCTCTGATACTATGAGGTCGATTGTTTTGTAGATTCTACGCTAGTTTTTAATTTCTAATTTTCAAAAACTATTTTTTACCCAATCATGAATTTGGTCAAAAAGATTCTCTATTTTCTAAGGAAGCTAGTTTTTGTTTCTTCTTACTAATTCTTTCCTAAAAACCAAAATCCATATTTTACCTGTTTCTTCCTAAAATTACCTACGACCAAAATCCAAAAAGAAAAAAATTGCTTTTCTTCTTTTTTAAAAAAAAAAAATTAATTGTTAAATTTATTAAATAATACTACATAAGACTAATAACTCTACAATACACACACAAAGTACAAATGAACCTCAAAAGTTATTAAATAATTGTATATGTATTATTACAATGCTATTTTATTTTTATTTTCTGGAATAAATATTTTACTATACCCAATAAAATTAATTTTTAGTTTACGAAGAACTATAACTATTATTGTGTACTATACCATATTTATAGACTTGTGTTTTTTTCCAACTTTAAAAATCTTTGTCAATTTTTAAATTTAAATTTGTAAATAAAAGTTATCAACAATTATTAATTCCCAAATTTTACATAAAACTAATGCATATATATTTAATTCTACACATATAATTTTTTTTGTAGTTAACCACTAATGAATATATATGCTATAATTATGGAAAATTTTATTAAAAATTATGTCTGTACATTTTAGTTTTACTATGTACGAACATATGCATATATCTCTATAATATTATTTTAGAATTCAGTTTCCTATGTGTCGCGCTCACGTTAACTTTCGTGATGGTTGATTACATTGATACCCTTAATGAATTAAAAATATTACATTTAAAAACTACTATTGATTTTTTTATTTAATTTCATATTTGCAAACTACTATTTATTTTTAAACATTTATCATGTTTAAAAATCAAATTAAAAAACCAAAATATATGTATATATGATATGATTTTGTTAAAAAGAAAGTTTCAGAAACTAGTAATATTCCATTTTAAAATTATTTTTCAATAACACAAAATATAATTTTGAAGTAATAAAATACTTTCTTTATATCTATAACTTTTAGATGAAAAATATATAGATTTGTATATAATATGATTTCATAATAAAAATTTCACAAAGATAATTTTGATATTAGAAAACGAATTATTATTTATTTTAAAATATACTTTAAACAATACAAAAGTTTTTCTTCAAAGTAATTGAAATTTTTATATCTATTTAATTTCTTAGATGTTTACATAACACAATTAAGTAACCTAAACTTTTATATATGTTTAATTGACTAAAAATCGTTTATAATTAATACTATTGAACTATTTTATTTATTTTTCATATACTATGTTGACTATAATTTAAAAAATATCTATAAATTATATTTTACTTATATAATATTATTTTCAAACACAATAACAGTTTTTACTGCTTATGTAATTTCGAATTAGAGACTGTAATTTATTTTTTATTTCAATATAAGCACATATATCTTAAGTTAGATACGATCTCCTTAAAATATATTTACATATCTAGGACAAAAAAAACTAAATGCAAATAGAAATGTTAATCAAAAAATTATATATTTTTTAAAAAAATATTATAGTTGAATTGAGATAAATAAATACAATTCAATATACTCAAATAATATTAAATTGACTGTAAAAATTTCTAAATTAAAGTATTATAATATTATTAATATAAATTATGTATAAATTATAAATTAATTTAAAACTAAAGTAAGTAGCAATCAATTTTTATAATATATTTATTAATGCATGAGCACAGAAAAATCACCTAGTTATATATAAAAGTTATAGTATAAAGTATATATATATATATGTATGTATGTTTCAACATAAAATTCTCTTATTAAGTTTATGTTTAAACATAGAATTATATTGTTTTTGTCTGTTTTTATTTTAATTAAGATTACGTGTGTCTTGATAATAATATTTTATATTATATTATTTCCATAATAAATATTTTACTATTAAAAACAATTTCATTTTAGTGTTTTAAAAAAAATTAAAAACCAGAAACCAAAATCTAAAATCACCATTTATGATTTTCCAAAAACTAAAATCTACTACAAAATCAAAAATCAAAAATTTAAAATTAAAAATAAAAATCTAAAATTCAAAAATCAAAAACTAAAATCTAAAAACTAAAATCCAAAATCTAGAAACCAAACAAACAATCATCACTTATATAAGATTCGGTTTATCATGAACTTCCAAATTAAAATCTTTTGTTGTTAAGTGCATTGACTATAACCCTTATAATCTATTAAAATAGAGTCCTATTTTTATTTACCTACAAACTAGGTGGCTTCCTGCACCATGTGCAGAAATAAAAGTTTTAAAAATAAATTTATATTTAAAAATAAAATTTAATTAATTTTTAAATTTATTATTTTATTACATTAATAATTTTACACTAATTATATGTAAAATTAAGAGAAAATAAACAGTTTTATTTAAATATATGACAGTTCTCTCAAATAGAATTTTTTTAGGTTTTTTCACAAAATAGATCTTAAAACATAAATGACCAAAACATCATTTTTTATTCTGAAATTTTCATTTAAAAAAAAAAGAATTTGTAATCCTATTCCCAAAACTCCGCTCCTCAACTTTAAACAAAAAAGTTTACGATTAGTTAACCCAAAGGATATAAGTGTATATTTACTTATTTTTGATGAAACATTTAAGTCTATCCTGGTCATTTTTATTTTAAGGTCTATATTTGTGATTAAAACTTTTTTTAGGTCTATCTTAAAATTTTTTTCTTAAATTTATATTTAATACTCGCTCTGTTCCTAAAAGATATACTTTTTAATGTTTTCACATATATTAAGAAAACACATTAAATCACTATCGTTTACAGTAATTTTCAATTTTCAACAAATTTTAGC